AGGGAGAAGGGGGCACTGCATTGTTCTCCGATTTTGGTTCGAGACGATGGTCACGAACAACGGGAGGTCACGTGCGCGCGAGAACGGCCAACAGAGGCAAGGATCGATGAATTCGAGCGACGATCGGGATCGTTGATTTTGTAATTAGGGGGATTCTACGAAGAACGCGTGATCGAGAAATCGGGTGGGGGGGGGGGAAGGGAAGAGAGGCTTTCGAAGGAACCCGGAACGAGCGACGACGATGCTCTTGGATCGCCGCTGCTACGCGGTGAATCGAAACGGTTCCATCGTATTAAGAGGGTTGATTGGTAGACAGATACCGGTAGGATATAGTTGAGTCATTGTATTCGTGGCTGGCTACGGGGATAGGTAAGAGGTATCTTGCAGGATTTTCATGGCGGAGGAATATTCCCGTGGTCCGTGCTCGTATTCTCTTTGCCGATCGCTCGTGGGTTTGGTATTGCAAACGCGATAAGGAGAGGGTTTCATTTCGAATAGATGTTCAGTTTAGTTAATATTCAGCGGATGATCGCTTTAAGTAGCCTTGAAAATTTTTGAATGGAGTTTCCGGGTGAGATAGAGTTCCGAAAAATTTAGTCTGTGAAACGTCATTTAACTTTTCGTTCTCTTTGCAGCACACTCGACTGACTCGCCAATATTTTAACACGTGAAGGGATTCTTTCAAGACGTGAGTCGAGAATCTCATCTTCGGGGGGAGATTCTTCTCGAATTCTTTGACAAGCTGCTTTACTTGCGCGATATCATATTTCGCTGGAAAAAGGTTCGTAGAAAGGAGCTTCCGGTTAAAGCCGCTACCTTCGTTATTTCGGCTGTCTTTCGGAACGAAACGAAAAGAAACGTTTCAATTTTCCGGCCGTAACGACGCGTGTATTGAAGAATCTTTCTCGTCAGACCTGAACTCGCTTTGTTCCCTTTAATTATTTCGTTTCGTCGAAGCTCGCTCAACCTGTGTAACGCTGATTAGACAGTGATTATAGAGAAGCTTGCAATCTAATCCTCTTTTCTCCCTATTATTAAAAAAAATGACAAGGAGACGATGATGCCCGATGATAACGGTGTAGAAATGATCATTGAATTTCCTGACTGTTACTTGCGCTTTATTCTCTTCTTATTTAAAATCGATCGAAAGCAATTTGTAGCTCTGTTCATTCATTCGACGAATACGAAAATTAATAAACTTTATAATTTTCTTTTCATTTCTTTATAATTCTTACTTTTCATTTTCTTATTTCTATATATATAATAATATTCCTCCTCTACTTTCAAGAAAAAGGATGTTCGACGATTAGGCGGAAGGCTTTGCCAATTACGCGGAAGGAAACATTGAACAGCGCGATTCTTATTCCTCGTTCTTTCCTGAAAATCGATGAAGGAAAAAATATATTGAGAAATCATGTAAATTCTTTATTCACTTCTAGGAGCAATCCTCCCCCTCTCCTAAGAGTTTGTTAATTAATTCATGCATAGAAACCGAGGCATTGCAGAAGTTTCGCCGGTGTTATCCGCTGGCCGAGAATACTTCGCCGGTGAATAATTCATAAGGAATTGAATATTTAACGCTGGTTTCTGGCCGAAGCTCTCGTCAATTTAACAATTTCAGTCCGCTTAACGCGAAAAGGAAAGAACGAACGGCGGACAAGGAGGGAGGAGGTGGTGAAAGAGAGAAGAAACGATTCTCACGCTTTCGAGAAACTACCGGGGGGAAATTATGCAACGCGTGCTTCACCGCCGCCGTCCGCTAACTGCACTCGGAATTTCAACGAGAACGCCCGTTTTTCATAGGCAAAAACACAATAACAGATTCCCTGCATCTAATTGCCATCGCCGCAATGGCCGCGTTTAATGTAATTAATTTCATTCGTCGAGACTCTGCATTTTAATATCTTAATCTGTGCCGCGTCGGGCGAGCTTCCGCGTAATGGAAATTACCATTACAAGAGTTTACACGGAGGGAAAATTTGTTTCAAATTAAAAGAAAATTCTACATGTTTCGCATGTTGCCCGTATATGAAAACCTCCCCGAGTAGCTTTTCCTCCCTTGAAATTAGGAAGAACGTGTAGAGATTGTTTCGACAGAGTCAGCATCCATTTTTCTATCATGATACGTGACTACGACTATATACAACATGTCATTATATTGGATCAATCATTACGTATGTATCTCTAACATTTTTCGAAATTGAGAATTATGAAAACGCAGAAAACTGAGATCTCGTACATTTGATCAATCGGAACGGCGCGATGGTGCACGCGAAGAAAAACGAAGTGTTGTCATCCGATGGCGGAAAGAGGCTGACCGCGACTGGGAATCGTGGCCGCGTGATTTTATCGCGGCAAACGTATCAGAGCAGCGGAATTTCAGGATCGAGTTAGACCTTCCTAGGACAAGCACCGGTTCGAGCTGGCCATTAGTAGACATTTTGTGTGGTCCAGGCGAAGTTTTGAGCGGGGCAGACGCTCTTATGCAAATTCGCAGATACCCCAATAAATACTGAAACGGGAAGCCGGCCCCGGGCAACCGAAGCTCGAGGATCTTGCATTAATTTCGCGTCATTCCGGTAATTCGACGTAAAATGCCACAATAAATGGTTGGATCCGCTTTGTTTCGCGAAATGCGAAGTTGCGAATACGAAGGAAACTTTCGAGCATTATTAAATACAACATTCGATACAAAGGTGGAACACATTGGTCCAGTTTCCCACTCTTTTGACGAGAAATTCATTTCACAAATGGTATGGGAATTATCAAAACATTCCACTTACATCGTGTTTAATTAGAAGGAGTAATGAATAATTTAATTTTGTCCAACAGTACAATTTCTATTGATTTGAAATTAATATTCATTGACTTACTTTGTTGGAGAATAGTTTTCCTATCGCGACAATCTCCTTGATCATTACTATTAACTTGTATCAAGATCGAAATGTGACCGTTTTTACGCTATTGCTACGCTTTGTTACACTTGTTCGTATCATTATTAACTTATCTCGTGTTGAATTACTACGGTTGCCTCGATTCTTAATATTTTACAAAAATCAAAGAAGGACGCACTTCGAATTTCGTGCATTTCCGTGCAAAAAGGAAGGCCACTTTGTCCTTTTCGCAAAAGGCGAAACGACGAAAACGCGACTCACAGAAGGACATAAAAGCTTGCTCGACTTGCTCGCTACAATCCGCAAGGAAGATTCTGCTGGACGGGAGGGTAACT